CCTCCAAGAGGTTGACAAAGGTAATGCAAACAGCTTTGAAGGTATGTTGACCAGTGTAAGATATCTAAAGTTAACTATATTCTTTTCATAGAAAGCATGAAAACAAACACCCCCTTGTGTTCTTTTATGGCTCATTGTTTTGCCATCATGATTTTCCTTCATGTAAGCCAAAGAAATGTTCTTTGTGGTCTTGTAAACAAGATAGATGATGAAATAAAGTACATTTTCCCTATTTTGATATTCCTCATTTTAATACCGGTATATATTTTTTCAGTATGAGATATGAGATGTCCTCAGTGTGTCAGGGTTCGGCTCTCTGTAGCTCACTTGTTCAGATCAGACAGAATAGGCAGGAGAACATCAGTTTAATGTGCTGATAAACAAACATCGCAGCGAGGCAGTGTCAGGAGTTCGCCGGACAGTGCCTTCTTTGTTGGGTTGCCGGCGTTGCTTAGACTCCCTCGGTCGCTGCAAAGTTGACTTTCAGGGCTAATTGCTTTGGGAAAATCGCTCGTCATCAAGTGCTCAGAATCAAGATGCAGGCCCCTTTTTATGTTCCAGTTTATTTTGCGAGCAAATGTGTGTGCGCTTCTGCACAGCCCGATTTTCCAGACTTGGCACATCACGGTTCATAGAGAATGGTAAAACGCCAAGACAACGTTCCTTTTTTTTTTAAGTCAGTCTTTTCTACCCCCCAGTTTGTTTATTTTCATTACTTGGTCCAGAGGGACTTTAAATTACTTCATCATCTCTGTTCTTTTTTTCTCTGTTACAACGACTGTACATGAAGCGTTACAATCCGAATGGGGTCTTTCAATGGTCAGACCTAGTGGGCCAATTTCGCTGCATAGAGTAGCTGATAGCATCTACAGCAGGCAAATAACCTACTACAATGAAGCCTGAAGCCGGCCCGCTCTGATATTGGCCTGACTCGGCCCTTTTTTTGCTGAAAGTAAGATGGGGAGATGCTGATGATGTCTGCTATTTGTTAGGGTAAATTGTTTCTAAATGAGCTAATCAGGGGATTGTTGTGAAGGAGCCAGGCATGTAGCACTCGTGTCCCACGGGAGGCTCTCTATCTCGTCGAGTGTGTTCACAGGGCTCTATGGTAGATTTGTAGAACTCAAAGAGGGGTTTGATTCCACCTGACCCTTTTTGTACGCTTAGAAAAACTCGTGTGAAACTGATATACATGTTACAGAACTACCAAATGTTTTTTTTTTTCAGTACGATAAAATAAACTACATTTGTACACTTTCTTAAGAAAAAGTGATGCTAGAGTGTTCACATTGCTATGTTTTTAGGGTGTTTTTATGTGTTTTAAAAACATTGGGTATGGGTAGTTGCTATGTGGTTGCTTGCTTGCTTTCATCTTATCATCTGCTAAGCAAAAATCGTATATGTGTAATAACACACCTTAACAAGCGGCAAAATGTGAGGTAAAATTCATGTCTGTTGCATGTCAAATTTTATTGCCTATGGTCAAGGGTTTGCTGAAATCCCTAACTCTGAAGCACCACTATTAAGAGATTTTCACTTATATTTGTTCAGAAAGTGGACTGTTAAGAAGTCTTTGGCAGTAAAGGTCTTTCTTGTCTTACATCTTAGTCATGCCTGGGTCAAAATATCATTTAAAACTTAAAAAAAAAAACATTTCCAAAGTGCCCTCATCACCCTCATAGAGGACTTTCCACAGCTGGTTAGTAGCCAAATCAATGATAATTAAGTCGTTCTATAAACAGAGCATGGATGTCTCCAGGGTGCTATTACCAGCCAACATTGTCCAGAGCTTGCACTACCTCCAAAACATCTGCGCAGACAGAATCAATCTTCTTTCTTTTTTGATTACGCTGCCTCTAATGTCTCATGTCTTTCATTGTTTCTGTTATATTTCTCAGCTTGTATTGCAAAGCAATACGCAAGAATACATCTCATGTGCTGATCACATAACTTAAAAACTGTCCGTATGTGTGTTTTTTGCATCTACTTGTATATCAGTCTGAGAACGTCAAGCATGAGTAAAATCTATTTCTCATGTTTTCAAAAAAAGCAGGTAAGACTCAAGCGGGAATAAACCTTTGGATTACAAAGTGATGTGGAATGGTTGGATTTTCGGCTATATTGTTTGTGTTGGATGACTGTGTGGCCCTGCACCAAAAGCCATGTAAAGTTACTTGAATGTATGCATATGTGGTAGAAAAAGTCTAAAAAAAAAAATAGCTGACTACATTATAGACACATTTCCAATACAAGTGCAATTCTAATTCTAATAATAATTAGCACATTATTTGCTGTCTACTTTGATGCATAGTAAAGTATCGTGTCATTAGCTTAGCAACATGCTAACGTCAAACCACTGGAATACATTGTGAGGTAAATCTCAGTACAGCATTTGTGTGTGTGTGTGTGTGTGTGTGTGTGTAGGTCTAAGAGTGGCTTACCTGTAGGGTTGTTCTCCTGTGTGTGTTCGTAAGTGCCTTGTAAGATTAGCTGACCTGGGAAAGATTTTCCCACAGTACCTGCAAAGGGTGAAAACTAGACTTTGATACAGTCGTCTAGCATTGTTACAACTCCCATATTCAGAGGGTTGTAACTCATTGTCTGGGCATATTCAATGTCAAAAGCAGAGTATTGATACATTTATTTCTAAGTATTTTATTTCTCTGTTAGGTGTGTATTAATGCATACCTCTAAATATGATTATGTGTTAGAAATTATTTAAATAAAGCTGCAGAGTTAAAGGAATCATGTAAGGATGTGTTTACTCTTGTTTCATGAGTGGCGCTCACCTGCAGGTGTATCGCTCCTTGCCTTTGCGTAAGATAGCATCGGAGAGAGAAGGAGGCGGGGAGCGGAAGTTAAAAAGGTGGTGTGAGGAGTGCTGGAGGGAATTGGGAGCATCCAGTTTCAGAGCGCTAAAGCTTTCCAACTTCTCAGTCATGTTTTCCATCGCAGACACCTGAGGAGAGAACACGAGGCGAGTTCAGAGAGGAATACTCTGTGTTTGATGCACAGCTCAGGGGCTCATTTAATCAGAAACTTCTCTTGAATTGATTTTGTGTGAGATTAGGAGCCATCTGGGAGTAAGACACTTTATTTTTTTTTGTATTTGTTTAGGGCAGATGCATGAAGAACAAAATAACAGCAGTGGTGAGGAGCTCTGACAGAGAGCCTGGGAGTTTGCATCATAACCAGACAGGATGGAAAACTGGAGGAAGTTTTATATCAGAAGGTCGAGTCTTGATTGTGCTGTTCAAGAGTGACCTCCCTAACCTATGGCACGTTGGCAGCCACTCGAGCAGCCCCTCGGGAGCCCCCGGCTCCTACATAGTTCCCAACAAATCTCTGAGAGAAGCATCTGAATGAGCCATACACCTCCATGAGCGGTAACCATACAATGCAGTTTAAGATACCCCTCGCTGATAGTACTTCCCCTGCTGCAGAACAAAGGGTTTGCTATGCGGCTCTATGGCCAAAAACAGCTTACATCCTTCCTACTTTTGGATATGGATCTTTATACCACTCGTAGAAGTCAAAATAGAGACATTTGATTAAATAGGGGGTTGCTTAAAAGAGAAAAGGAAAGAGCGAGAGATTTGGAGTGAGGTAGGTCAGCATTGATGGAGGCCAGATTTACAGCTCAGATAAGACAGTTCCCAACAAGAGAGGCCATTCTATTACACACAAACACAGGAAGTCCCTGATCGACATGCAGACATTATCTAGGCAGCCAGAGCAAGAAAGAAATGCTAGGAAGTTATGGATAAACACAGAGACAGACAGTGTGTTTTAATTTATTTACACATGTCTCGATATCACCTTGATTCTCTTAGTGTTTTAGTCTAGAATATTAACAGGCAATGGTGCTATTGGTAATGCGTATACCTTTAAATAACCATGGTCGCATATTTGATTTTCATTTGCTTTAAGACAAATATATAGTCAACATAATGTACATATCTAAAAAAATGACTATGGAATAAAAAGTACTATGCAATAGGATAGCATTTAAGATGGATCGATGAATGGATAGATAGATATATAGATAGATAGATAGATAGATAGATTTCCCAACAAGAGAGGCCATTCTATTACACACAAACACAGGAAGTCCCTGATCGACATGCAGACATTATCTAGGCAGCCAGAGCAAGAAAGAAATGCTAGGAAGTTATTAGCGGTGGGACTCAATGGAGAACTTCCCAGAGACAATGGTCTACTCTGAAAGTATGTGGCATAATTTGTTTCAATTCAAAAGGCCATTATTAATAATATTTTCATTATTGTTGTCACCGTTCAAAGGTGGGAAAGGTTTAAAATACTAACGCAAACAATGAGGGTTGTTTTTCTAAGCAAAAGATAAAGAATTTTGAATGCACAGCATGACACAAAACAGGCAATACCTCTTTCGAGATTATCTTCATGATGAAAATAATCTAATGAAAATAAATACCATCAGAAGTCAGCACTTTTTAAAACATCAAGGCTCCCCTTGGACCAAAACAGACCTGAGGTGGAGGACACTGGGAATGTGCTTTCAGTGTCTTGCCATGCTCTGCTGTGCTTGAATGGAATGACAAGCACAACCTTTACCAATGTAAGTAAAGCAAATGCATGTAAAGAATACCTGAGGATGGAAGAGTAGTTGTGCCGGCCTCAGGTACTTCTCCTTTAGAGCTCCTACTGGGTCTATTAGCTTCCTCTTCTCCACCCTGCTGGACAACAGCACCAAGGGTTACGTACGAACGAAGGTTGATTGTAAACCTACTGGGTACCAATACTTTTCCAATAACTTGTCTAATTTCAACATATCACCAGCTACTGCTTTGAATTGTCCTTGTGTTGGGTTTTACAATAGAACCTACTTATTGAAATACCTGTAGATGGGGTCCATGAAGAATGGCGAGGGCTTGGCGTAGTGGAGCGGCGGCTGCTGCTGGGGAAGGGATGCTTGCGGCTGAGGCATCTGGGGCTGGTGCAAGTTCTGGGACTGAGTTAGTGCTGGGTGTTCATCTTTAGCTGCTTTGCAGTTTGCGCCATAGGCGTGATTCTTGCGCTGTTCATGTGCGCCACCGTTCTGGTTAGCTCGGCTTCGACTGCCTATGCTGAGGTCCAGAGGTTGTTCCTCTCCAGGGGCCAAGGGGGGATTGGATGGCAAGGCTGGCTTGCTGGGGGGTGGAGGAAGAGGTTTGACCTCCTTGGGTTTGGTGGTTAGGTCAAAGGGTGAATCCGCACCAGTGGCTGTAGGTATTTTCTGTATGTGCTCACGAGGGGATTTAGGCTCAGGTTTGAAGAACATGCCAGGATTGAGTGCTCTGTCTGTGAACGGGTACAAGGAATGTGGGAAGTTGGGCAGAAACTGGAAAGGGAACATGGAATGGTAGTTTAAGGAGCCCATCTTCTTCTCCTGCAAGCCCATTAAGCCTGGGCCAAAATACTTTTCTGCAATGGAGGCAATGGCTTTAATGGAGTCAGTGGTGGCCCCGGAGGGTGGAAGTGCTTGCTCCTCTGGCGGTGGGAAAAATGAATGCTGGGAGGAGAGGAAAGGACGCACGCAAGGGAGGTTCCCTGTACTGGAGACAGATACCGAACTGCTGCTCACTTCGTCCTGCTTGCTCTCCTGCACTGGTTTCCTCCTGCTCTTCTCCCGTTCGCTTTCCGCCTCACTTTCTAGATCTGAGCCAGTGGTGGTGTCTAGATCTGTGCCGCTAGACGTGTTAACATCTTCCAAGTCACTACCATCAGACATTTCATTCATCTTCACTTTATTCTTGTTGTCGTGGAATGACAAGTCCAGTTTGGACTCTCGATTCTCCTCTGACTGGCTGCTGAGGCCGCTCCCTACATTGCCATTGCTGTTGTTCATGGATGCGACCGCAGAAAGAGTAGGAGCATCAAGAGGAGTCAGCTTCCCATCCTGACGGTTACTAATTGGGCTCTTGAGCAGTGAACTAGGAGGTAACAATGGCGGTCTAGGATATAGCGATGGGGGAAAGATGCCTGGGAAGCCATGGGAAAGAGCTGGGAATGCAGAGGGTGCTGGGGAAAAGGGCAAACCTGCATGATGCAGCCTGGATGGGAAGTAATCACCGAAGCCAAGTCCACTATGGTTCAAGCCAAGATGAGACTTGGACTTGCCTAAAATGTGACTGGATGTCATTGGTATGCCCGTTGTGAATATGCCTCCGGGATTATAATGGTTCTTGCCCTCGCAAAAGCGCCGATGCTTGTTGAGGGAGGAGGTAGTGCTGAACATTTGCCCACAGTCTTTACACTTGATCTGGGTGCGGCAGTCTGCATGCATCCGTTTGTGACGGCACAGGTTAGAGAACTGGGTATACGATTTGTGACACACCTCACCTGGGAGAACACACATGACTGGTTAATTCTATTAACATACTGTTTTCATTTGGTGTTCATTCATTCAATAGCAGTGATAATCCGGCAGCTGATTAGATCAACCAATAAACTGTGCATGCTGTTTATTATGTTCGGCAAACATGGCACTGTCTACATCAGGGGTAGCCAACCCTGCTCCTAGAGGGCTACCTTCCTGCAGAGTTGAACTCCAGCCCTAATCAAACACACGTGAAGCAACTAATCAAGGTGTTTGAATTACTCGAAAATTGCAGGCAGGTGTGTTGGAGAAAGGCTGAAACTGAAATCTGCAGGAAGGTGGACCTCCAGGAGCATGGCTGGACTCTGCTCTGTTTTGAAGGTGAGATAAAAACGCTACACACGGCAATGTTGTATGGTAAAATATGATAAATTAGCATATGAATAACTCGTTGATGAGATGCTTCATTAATAGTAGAGCTATTTTGTATACATACAAACACATGTACACTGGTACAGCATACATGCATTTGGACATTGGACGGTAAAACACAGAACATTGTGAAGGCAAGCAAAAAGAAGATGGTGTTCTCTCAGTGTTGGTAAAAGGGCAGCTAAGACATTTACCTCTAAACATTAAATCTGCCTTGGCCATATACAAGCCTAATGGGCCCTCAAAAGAAAATGCACAGTTACAAAAAACAGAAGAAGGGTAAAATGGAGTAATTAAGAAAGCGAAAAAGAAAGCACTAAAGAAAAGTGCAACAAATGTAGAACAAAACAAAGAATGGCTCTAGAATTTCATTTAGTTTCTCTGACCTATAAAACAACAGCTGTCACAATCTTGGGGTGGAGCTAGCCGGGAGGTCTTTGGACACTGGTAATTGTATCTGAGGCTTAGACAAGACTGCTCAGACTTACAGATGAAAGGCTTGACACTGCTGTGTATGTGCTTGTGCTGCTTGAGGCCCGAGGAGGTGGCAAAGGTCTTGCCACACTCAGGGCAGGTGTGGGCTCGGGCACCGACATGCTGAGAGCGGATGTGGCGCTGGAGGTTGCTGGGGTCTGTGAACACCTGAAGAACCCACAGAAATATGCCAACTTAGTGCAAAGTGCTATGTAAACATAGCATGGTGTAAAGGCAATTACTTGGAGATTAAAATTAATTGTAGTGTTATATTTTGAAATTTGCAGTACACGGATAGTTGACATGAAACATTTTTGGAAAGTTGACATGGCCTGTGGAGTGACATCCATCAATCAGTACACAATTTGGCTAATTCTTCTGATAATTCTTCTGACCTCAACTTAATCAAGAGACTACATGAATGTTTGTACTTCTTAAAAATTAATTTGTCACACTGCAGGACATTTTAAAACAAACTGCTGAATGTAAAAGGTTTTCATTTCATTTTCATCAACTAAATATTAGTCCAGGGGCACTTTATGTTTCAACTTTCCACATGTAATCTAATTAATGCTTTTAAACATATACGTGGTTGCAGTAAGTCACCATAACCTACCTTATCACAGTTTTCACACTCGAAGCGCTTGCCACTGTCATGTGACATCTGATGGCGAATGAGGTTGGATTTCCAGTTGAAAGCTTTGGGGCACTGTTCACACTTATACTCTCTCTCATCTGTGTGTACGATCATGTGCTGCCCGAGACTAAGAATACATAAGAACACCATAAATATTTTCTGTGTGACCACCATGTAGGCCAGTGTTTCTAAACTGGTCTGTTGTGGCAAGGCTGTATACTGTATCACAGGGGAAAAAAAACAACAATGCTAAATGCAAATAATATAACGAATCCTACAGCCATATACTGTTAGAATACCAAAATAAATAGACTTATGTTTTAAACAGGTGGATTATTATTATTTTTTTTAAAGGCTGCACATTCAAACTTGGTCACTTGGTAGCCAAATTAGGCAGATGCCAAATATGGTTTGCGGCAAGCTTTTCCTTTGCATTCTGTGTCATGTTAATAATTTTTCATAATGTTTACCTATGTGACTCATTGTAATTTTAGCAAATTTCAATGTTTGATTTTAAAGGCATTTTTGTAAGATAAACATATTTATCATGCACATGTTTATTGTACACATACGCATGTGCAATAAACCATTTTGGTTCTGTGTTGGGTCACTGGTACAATGCAAAAGCAAAACCAGATCAGAACCAAGACAAATAAATATGAAAAAGCATAGAACAAACTGATCATTGATTTTTGTTTCTTTTTCATTTACCTTTTTGTTTGACATTTTAACAGCTAGGGGTTCACTAAAGCTCGGCGGGTAATTAGTAGTTGTGCGGTGTGGTGGAGTGTGCTGACCTGTACTCGCTAGGGAAGATCTTTTCACAGTCTTTGCACTCGTGCACCGGCTCATCGCTGTCTTCGTGCTCCTGTTTAAAGTCTTCGCTTAGTGAGTCAAACATCGAGTTGCTGCAACTGCAGGAGTATTTCTGATGCCGCCGTAACTCCAGCTTCGATGTGAAGAGCTCATCACAGTGTTCACAGCGGTACATCTGCTCATCTGTGGGGACGGCATCACACAGTTGCTCAACGATAATAATTACATGGTCATTTTCAATTATAAAAAGGTTCGGTCTCCAGAATAAGACCTCAAATTGTATTTGGACACTTATTTAAAAATGTCTGAATGGCATTATATTAGATGACAAGATATCAAGTGTCATTTAGGCTACTTTAAAAAGAAAACACACTTTTCCATCATGACATTTCATAAAAAGAGGTTTTAAATGATAAAACAATAGACATGCTGTTCAAAATGAAAACAAAAATATTTTGGCACTTTCTGGTTGTAAAATGTTAGTGGAACATGCCCGTAGTTAATGTGATGAATTGCACCTGTGGTTATTCTATAGGACACCTGCGTGAACTGTGAGAAATGACTTCATACATCCACCAAAAATCACCGAAACACAGCTGCTTTCAAATATGCATCACTTCAAAAAATACATGTAATTTTGGTAGTAACATTGTTTTCATTGAGCATAAGCCAGCAATCGAGAACAACAACAAAGAACGATCTGAAACAAACCTTTTATAACAAATACAAATATTTAAGATTAATATAAAAAAACTTTAAAACCTTGAAAATTATACGAACACTGACCTTTAAAGAACTAACAAGATTAAAGCAAAAAATGTCATTGATTTTGGCTCGCTTTAGACTGAAAAGTTAAATGACTAAAAACGTGGCTGTTTCATCCTTACTGATATCCTGACACAAAAGCCAAGTTCACAGATAACCCTAGAGGCATGGAAAGGCAAGGGAACTCTACGGTCTGATGCATTAGCTATCCTCATCCTCAAATTAAACTCATTGATAACTCTGATATACTCCATGCACTGCCCGGATCAGGCCGAGGCGGATAAGTTTCATTATTCTTTGACTCAATGTTTTGAAAGCAAAGGCCATGAAAAGCTCGCACCGATGCTGCGTTATCTAGGATTACACCATATATTCTGTTTTATACGTTCTGCGACACGTATTGACAGAACACACTCCACGGCAATGCTCATAGACTTCCTGCAAAATAAACGGGTATTTGGAATAAAATGCCCTTGTGACCCCAAAGAGGCCTTTATGGGGAAAACTAAAGTCAAGAAAAAGTTTCTGTGCTGATTTGACAAAAGTACAGTGTGCTGTATATTTCATATCTGTGTAAAAACGAGTTATTATATTTTATTATTATTATTGCATAATTTTTTTATATAAAAATGCAATGAACCACACACAACTAAATCTATAGGGCTGCCGTTTCATTCTCAAATTCGCCAATACTATAGTATTTTCTTCATCGTCCGACCTAACAAGACGACAAGCACAGGCCACATACAGCATCTTACTAACTGTTGGCAGAGGTGAATGAGTGTGGTCTGTGTGAGTTTGTTTAAAAGAGTGCCTAATGACTTGCATTAATCTCACCTTCCAGGTTCGGTGCCATTGAGCCCTCGGGGAAAACTCCGTCCTTCATGTAAACCAGTAACTCCTCCCCTATTTCAATATCTCTAATAGCTTTATAATAGATCTGCAAAAAGAGAAGAAAAAACGCTTAGCATTTTAAAACCACAAATAAAAAGGCCTTACATTATTATTATTATTATTATTATTATTATTGTTGTTGTTGTTATTATTATTATCATCATCCGTGATTTTTAGAGACGTGAAGCTTTATTTTGAACATAGCAAATGTAAAAGCAATAATATTAATTTGTTATTTTTGTTGTAATACGGATTAAAAAAAACAAACACACTCAGCAAACAGTCACAAAGCAGAGGATAAACAGATAATGCAGTAATTATTAAACACAAAGCGCATCTGAAATCCCGCCTGCTTCATTCGATTATTTGCTTATCGAAGGCCAGCAACAAATACATCAAAACTCACACACACAAACAAAATAAACGAGCGCATCACATGCAATAAAAACACGTGGAATTAAAGACAACAATAATAAAGTAATATAAATAGAATGTGTATTTTTTTTTTAGATGTATTAAAAACAATGCAATCGTAATCCGATGTGTTTGATGTGTTTTTGCTTTTAAATTGAATAAATCAAATATAACACACGCACGCAAACAAAGTGCTAGTTGTTTTTAAAATACAAAATCATAACTACTAGTAGTACTGTGTTGCTGAGACATGCGACAATGCATTTTTTTCAATCTCGGTGTAGCATACATTATTTTACCAGTGCACACGTTTATAATTGTATCCGTTGCACGTGCATTCTAAATACAGTTTGCTTATATTATTCTCGCGGTGTAGCCTATTGTCATTTATTTCTTAGCCTGATGATTTGCTGCAAAGTTTCCTCAATTAAACACAATCAGCATAATCCTTCCAGAGCGCATTGTGATAGTAAACCGCGTCTGTTGTGTTCTTAGCCTAAATACGCTCCAAAAAGCCTGCATTTATTTTGTAAATTAAACTATATATATATATATATAGACTTTAACCTAACTAAATCGACTTATAAATAATAATCCTAATAAAACAAAACGGAACAGTCGGCTTTAAAAGCGCTTCTGAGTAAAGACGCGCACTGAGCGCGCAGTACCGCATGCTCCCTCATGAGGGCACTCAGGGCTAGGCGACAGCAGCAGATCTGGGCCGCTCGCCGAAATCAAGACATCCAGCTAAAAAGCTGCACAAACTTCCTCTCAGAGCTCTAATTTTGTGACAACTCTAATGTGTGTTACAAAAGTAGGCCAAGGCATCAAGAGGGGCGGCCGATGTGTAACACAGCTATCATTATTGTTAACATTAATATTGCATTTGCAGTTAAACGAAGGCAAGAGCGTTTCTGACCTTTTTCTTTCCCGAGAGTTGATAGAGTTGGGCTAGTTGTTGAGCGGTGGATCTCAAAGCCTCCAGTTGTAATAGCAGCTCTGGTCCCGTAGAGTTCAGCACGCAACCCATAGTATCATGACAGTGCGCCACAGCCGCGCGAGACAGAGTCCGAACACGCGCGTCTTTGATGAGGTGAGTCGCGCTCATTAGTGATTCTCTCTATCGGCCACTCCTCCTCTCTTATCTCCAACCAAAAGGACTGAACCCCTCCCCATGTCCTCTCCTCCTCTGACCACCGCATGAATCTATTATTGATGGAAAATGTATCTTTGCCAGCTAATGAAAATCTACAAAATACATTTTCCACTGGGCTTTAAATACATACACCTGTTTTTACTCGCTGTCTCTTGCATTTAGCAGATGTTTTAAACCAATTGCGTTCGCGCTTTGAGGGACTAAAGTCGATATTTTGCGGAGACTAACTAACACTTAGTTAGCTGTCATATTCAGCCTATATTTAATTAGCCCAGACGAACGCTTTAACCTGTTCATAAATGAGCGTTTGTGAGGAATTTATGTTACGTCAATTAAAAATGATATTGCAATTATCCAATTAATAATCCAATTATTCTATTATAGTAATATCGATGCTCTACATATGACAACAGCAAACACTGTATATTATTTCATATAGGCTATTATAATATTTTGATAGGCATAATTACAATTAATATAACTATTATTTATAATCTAATTATTATTTATTTTATTAAGATCTAATTGCTTCCTGTTTTATAAATGTATTGACAAAATATAATTGTCACAATATCAATTGAGAGTTTGTTGCTTATTGCTAAATATACATTTAGGAAATTAAACGAGTGATTACATTTCATCTGTAAATTATGATTTGTGCAACGGATATGATAATGTTACAACGGTTTGTTATTGTCAGTTGTTTTTAGGTCAACTCAAATATTATATTCTAAAAGAATTAGAATAGAATCAACAAATAAGCATATAAGTACAAATTACATATAAAAACGTATCTACAGCACACATGACTTTTTAAATAATTTAATACACATGACACTTACAATGCAGGTGCCAAACGCTCGATATTTAATCACTAAGGAATCAATAAATTGCATGATCTATTTCTGAAAGATAGAATTTGGATGTCAAATTGTGCTGTGGTCTTTGGCTAGTTCTCATTCATTTTGTCATTTTGCTCTGGGTGCGTGGAAATGCCTTCCTTTCACCCCTAAAGCAATCTATTATGATGGGGCTAAGCTGTCTCTACAGTAAATCTTTTCAGGATCTGACAGCACTGAGAGAGCCATCTTGACCCCCTCACAATGCTTTCAAGTGCTGGGGGCCGATGCATCATCCATCACTTAGATGACAATAATCCCCTGTCTGTCACACACACGGACACACACGCATTCATATACGTGCAAGCAGACACAGACTGATGGGAATATATAAGAAAAACACTTTTATTTGGGTGTGCCTGTTTGTCTGCCATTCAACATGTACATCTGATTCACTAAGACAAGATCAGAACAAAGTTCATCATAACAACTCTTTGATCTAATGCCAAAACCATATAAAAACTAAACTGCATGAGTAGACGTCAGGGATTTTTACAAGTTCCTCTCTAGCAAACAGGTATGTAACTTATATAGTGTTTTATCAGTCAGTAGCTAATAAGTAATTGAATGCATGAGTTTCAGTGTGTTTGTTATGAAGGTGTAACATACAGTAAGTTTCAGAAAGCCAGAATACGTCCACCAGCTCTATGCCTATTGTCTCAGAGCGTATAGGCTGCTCTTAGTTTGGCCCAAAACCCAGATTACACTTTCTCAGCGCAAGCAGATAACATCCGATCAGCGAATTACGCGGCATTTCAAAAATATACTTTTACACAAGAGCACATAAGCTCACACGGTTTTTAAGTTAATTTTGCACCCATTGCAATAACACAACAAAATATTATTTTCTTAAAGCAAAGCGTTGGAACTAACACCCTCGCCCTGCTTTCTTGCCATTTAGAAGCATTCACACCTCGACCAACAGCCATAACATAAAAAAACACATTAAAACGTAAGGCCTAAAACAGTGAAATGCAGCACTACACAGTTGAGTCGTGTTTTCAGGGACCCGAACGCCAAAGACAAATACGCAAACAAGTAAATAAATGATCCCGGTTGATTTTAAAAGGTTACAGGCACATCAGAATTTGCTGGGCGTGTGCATATTTCCATACGGCTCATGCATTGTGCATGCGCAAATAGAACAGCAAAGTACAAAGTTCAATGAATTATGCATTTTTGCATTGTGCCGCCGTTCTGAATAAATAATAGGCTGTTGTCCGTAAGTCCGGCTAAAGCGTGTACAAAAGATAAGAAAGGGGGAAAAAAACAACAGAAGAAGGGAGAAAGTAAATAGAAAGCATGTATTTAGTGAGGCGATTTTAGCTGGAGATATTATTCTCCTGTGGGCCCAGCGGTGGCCGCTCATTGAACTGAAACGACTTTAATGATTGGGTTATGTAGTTGAAGTCAATTGGTGGTTGTCAGTCTCAGAGGTTGTCCCTCCTCTCCTCCTGTCGGCTTGTGTTTTATGTGTCAGCCTCTAAAACTGCGGTGGCCACACTAGTTGCCCCCGTTAGCCTCGAGACAAAAGCGAAGACTTTGGCTTGTTCCACGGCATTTTTGCATTGTTCCGCCGTTCTGAATAAATAATAGGCTGTTGTCCGTAAGACCGGCTAAAACGTGTACAAAAGATAAGAAAGGGGTAAGAAAGGAATAAAAAAAAAACAACAACAGAAGAAGTGAGAAAGTAAATAGAAAGCATGTATTTAGTGGGGCGATTTTAGCTGGAGATATTATTCTCCTGTGGGCCCAGCGGTGGCCGCTCATTGAACTGAAACGACTTTAATGATTGGGTTATGTAGTTGAAGTCAATTGGTGGTTGTCAGTCTCAGAGGTTGTCCCTCCTCTCCTCCTGTCGGCTTGTGTTTTATGTGTCAGCCTCTAAAACTGCGGTGGCCACACTAGTTGCCCCCGTTAGCCACGAGACAAAAGCTAAGACTTTGGCTTGTTCCACGAGTCAATCAGCTTGTTTTAAGTGAGACAAACAGCCTAAAAGTGGCAGAATAATAACAAGGAAAGTGATCCACTTATGCATATAATCTAAAACACCCCCCGAAATGGCACACTTAAAGGAGCAATTCACCCAAAAATGAAAATTCTGTCATTATTTACTCACCCTCGTGGTGTTCCGACCCCTGTGACTTACTTTCTTCAGTGGAACACAAAAGGATTGAGGCAGAATGTCCTGACTTTGAAATCTCATGTTCTAATTCAAATATACAGCATCAAGATGAGTTGTGATGATGAGGCGTGGTGTAAATACCATCAATAGATCTCGCTGTTAATTGCATCTTGAGATGCCATATTTGATTATACGCAGTGGTGGGCCAGCAGGGCCTTCTCTGCTGGCCCTGTAAAAAAATAAAATTGTGTGAAATTATTTTTTTTGTATTATTATTATTATTATTATTATTATTTAGGTATCATTTTCATTTGTGTAATGTCCAGAGAATGGCCTATGATTAGTTTAGTTGAGGATGAACTGGAATATCCTATATAAAAAAAGTTGCATCTGATTTGTAATGAGCATTAGTGACAGAATCATCAGCCAATCAAATTTTGACGTTCAATGACAGCACGCCCTCTGGGTCTAGTGACGTGCCCAGTGCTACCCCCAGCGTTCAGTTGGGAATTTCCAAGGTATGAAAGTGAAATTCAACGAAAAGAAAATGACAGATGCAGTCACCGGCGCCTACACCAGATCTTGTTGCCGATCTACTAAAAATGCCTTTTCAAGGCGCTCTTTTGCAGACAAAAGAGGAATAACTGAGAAAGGATAAACTACACCCAAACTGAATTCGCTAACAAAGGTTTTGTGCGCCATTTCAAAGATTGCAACTATGAGTGCTATAGTGGCTAACAGCTAGCACCGAGCACAAGAAGTTATTTGGCCATGTTTACTTTTTAATACGAGTAAAGGGACATGGAATGACAGACGCACGCACTTTATTTACAAGAGACAGGTGAGTGCTTTATTGTTTGACGAGTATTGTATCATGCACATTGTTATGAAGGTGTACGTGGTGCTTTGATAATACTGTGGCGTGGTGTGCGGATGTCCAGCATTTGTGCAGTTTTGCTGCTGTGGGCGCGTCGTCATTTTAGAGTGACGTGAATGTGCATAGTGACCCGTGTATTGGCGGATTACTTTTACTGATCCATGTAGGGAGATTTACTCTGCATTTAACCCACCCTAATCTAGCCTACTGTTGAAATTGTTGATCAGCTGTCATTGTTGTTGAGAGCCTGTGTGCGGCATAATATGCACATTATATGTATATGGCTGCATTAGCTGTTACAGAGATGTGTAAGATAGATGTGTAAGGGTATGTAGTTTACAGTTGCTTACTGAAGGCCCTGACTGAAAGCCCACGGTAAGCTACTGATTAATACGAGAACGCAAATGAGATTTGAGAGTATCCTAGCTAAGAAAAATACGTTCTATGTTCTAAAATGTGTGTGTGTGGGTGTGTGTGTGTGTATTACAAATTGGTAACACTTTACAATAAGGTCCCATTAGTTAACATTAGTTCATGCATTGACATTATTTGGTAAAAATGTTTTAAGGTGTCCTTGTTACACATGTACTTATATAATAACAATAAATTATGCATAATTACATGCAAGTAACCCTAAACCAAACACTAATCCTAACCCTAACCATGTAGTAAGCACATATAGTTAATATTACTCCGTACTTAAATGTATAATTACACTGTAACAAGAACACCTTAAAATAAAGTGTAACCCATTATTTAACTTAACTTACAACGCTAGTTAAAAAAATAATTTTGGATTTTAATAATGTAGTAAATGTTAAAATTAAGAGTAACTGAGATTAATAAATGCTTTAGAAGAATTTTTCATTACTGGTGCATGTTAACTAATGTAGTTAACTAATGGCGAACATTAGTCTTGGTTATGCAAATGTTTGAGGAAAAATAATGGGAACTTTTATTTTGAATTGTCTGCAACTAAAACATTTCAGTAAAGAAACTCTCCAAGAACAAGGTGTAAATAAATCTGAGAATGTCATTAAAGAGCAGATAGTTTTAAACAAACATTCTATTAACATTTCTATAACTTTGAGAGAACGTTCTGAGAATGTTCCCTGTTAGCAGGGACAGTGGATGGGAATATGTAATAGATCTCATTCTCACACGAAGCTACCATATGACTTTATAAAATCCGAAGTGTAGCGCACAACTGATTAGACAACATTTATTAACTTTTTTGGTCATTTCTGAAGCTTTGCGGTCTCTGTCCACAATCTATTATTTTGTATGGAAAGACCAGCCTTTTGTGGAAGAAAATCAGTCACACAGGTTTACAATGACAATACACTCTCAAAAATAAAGGTTCTTTGTTGGCATCAGTGGTTCCATGAAGAACCTTTAACATCCACGGAACATTTTGATGACACAAAAGAGTCAAAAGGTTCTTTAGATTATTAAAATGTCCTTCTCACTTCTAAAAAACGTTGACTAAATGCTTGACCACAAATGTTATTCTATGGCATCACGGTGAAAAAAAGCAACTATTTGGAACTTAATTGGCAGAATTTTAATTTTTGGGTGAACTGTCCCTTTAAATTAGAAAGTGAGCACAAGCTAGATAAGTCAACCACCAAGGACCCCTCACGTAATCAGTTAGATATCATGTAAGCAAAGGAAACAATCCACACTCAACAGCAACTACCGCACAAGAGCTTGATGATCAGATTTAGACCGCCGCCGCTGCATCAACACAATCCCTGAACAAAGCCAGCGTACAGTAAACACGCAACCGTTCTTCCTGTCAGACAGCGAGTCTGTCATGAGATCTCCAGCTTTATGAGAGATCAGATATCTTATCTTAAAGACACAACTGCTCGTCCTTTCAAAGGAAGCAAGTCATTGAAGACAGTGGATTACAAGATTCAGGAGTGTCCAAACTGGCTTTGTACGTTACTCTTGTAAATGACTTCTGAGTCACTTTCTCTGACAAAGGCAGGGCTTCATCAAACAATCGGCTGTTTTTATCTGTTGTGTAAGTGGGGACATCTTGACAGCAGCAGGTTCTGTCCTCGTCTTCCTGACAGTAACATGTGCTCACTGTCTCTTCAAGCTTCTCACAGGATGGTCAGTGTTAGATGTTTGTCTGCTGACCTTCTCATAGTGCTTTTAAAAACAGCTCCAACTGATACTATACTGTAGCTCCCACATTATACTGTGTTTCAATAACAGCTAGCAAAATAAGTATCGTAAACTGTGCTCTTGCAATACCTGTGTACATTCATGACGATCTCCAGCTTTATGAGAGATCAGATATCTTATCTTAAAGACACAACTGCTTGTCCTTTCAAAGGAAGCAAGTCATTGAAGACAGTGGATTACAAGATTCAGGAGTGTCCAAACTGGCTTTGTACGTGACTCTTGTAAATGACTTCTGAGTCACTTTCTCTGACAAAGGCAGGGTTTCATCAAACAATCGGCTGTTTTTATCTGTTGTGTAAGTGGGGACATCTTGACAGCAGCAGGTTCTGTCCTCGTCTTCCTGACAGTAACATGTGCTCACTGTCTCTTCAAGCTTCTCACAGGATGGTCAGTGTTAGATGTTTGTCTGCTGACCTTCTCATAGTGCTTTTAAAAACAGCTCCAACTGATACTATACTGTAGCTCCCACATTATACTGTGTTTCAATAACAGCTAGCAAAATAAGTATCGTAAACTGTGCTCTTGCAATACCTGTGTACATTCATGACTCCGGTGCAAGTGTAGAATTGATGCATTCAGTGTAGGAGCATTGTTGTGCCGACATGCTGTTATTAGTCATTTACATCATAAACTGTTTCAGCCTTTGGTCAATACAACATTCTAGACATACTAAAATACACAATATGCAGAATATACAGGTCACTACCATTCAAAACTTTGGGGTTAGAAATAAGCCTCTTATGCTCAAGAAGGCTGCGATATTGTTAAACGAAAATAATTTTCTATCGTAATGTATTTTAAAATGTAATTTATTTCTGTGATGCAAAGCTGATCCTTCAGAAAGCATTTTGTAATATGCAGATTTGCTGCTCAAGAAACTTTAAAAAATTGTTTTTATTATTATTAAGGTTAAAAACTATGGAAGCCCGTTTCTGCCACTGAATAAAAAAAATGTAATCTCAGAATTCAGATTTTTTTTCCCCTTCAGAATTCTGACTTTATTACACACAACTGCAAGGTTATATCACACAACTCTGAGAAAAGAAGTCAGAATTGCGAGATATAAATGCATAACTGCGAGAAAAAAGTTAGAAGTGCAAGTTTATATCTTCTATAGAAACAGTTGTGCTGCCATGCTTTCTTTTTCAGGATTCTTTGATGAATAGAAAGTTCAAAAGAACAGCTTTTATTCAAAATTTAGTTGTTTGTAAAAAAAATTAAATAAAAGTATTTTACGTTCACTTTTGTTCAATTAATGCATTCTTGATGCAATTTTTTTCTGGAATTTTCTTAAAATATTTTTTAATGACAATTACATATTTATTATGCAGTAACACTTTTAGGATTGGCTGCATAGCCGTGTAGGATGAGTGAATATTGTTATGTCATGTCCTCTCCGACCCCTGATCTAAATGTTCAAAAAATATCTAAAAATATCCAAACAATTTCAAAACAGTTTGTATTATTCAAAATTTAGTTGTTTGTAAAAAAAATTAAATAAAAAAGTCTTTTACGTTCACTTTTGTTCAATTAATGCATTCTTGATGCAATTTTTTCTGGAATTTTCTTAAAATATTTTTTAATGACAATTACATATTTATTATGCAGTAACACTTTTAGGATTGGCTGCATAGCCGTGTAGGATGAGTGAATATTGTTATGTCATGTCCTCTCCGACCCCTGATCTAAATGTTCAAAAAATATCTAAAAATATCCAAACAATTTCAAAACAGTTTGTATCATAACTAATGATGCCAGTTGCACTTTTTCAGAGCTCTCTTGAGCTCAGACACACTAGAATCTCAGCAGGAACAGTCAATATGAGGGAGCAGACGACCAATCAGAGAGCGAGAACGACAGGAAAGGGAAGTGACAGAACAACGGAGCTCACCTGATCTTCGCTGATGTGGCATATGGCCAGGTTGTGCTCTTCATGGGACGGGGCAGTGCGCACGTATTTGAGCCAGCTCCCGCTGTCCTCCAGAGCCCCGTCCAGACAGAACTTCACATTACCCATGTTGTCCATTACCTGGACACAGAGAAGCACAATATAGGACGCTATCATTAAAACATATTCACAGACAGTGACACTGAACTTTAATGATAGAGATCAGAGATGTAAGATATATACACTACTGGTCAAAAGTATGAAATCATTAAGATTTTTTTATTTAATTTTTCAGCATTACTCCAGTACTCCAGTACTCCTGCATGGTTGCAGGGGGCTGTTAACTGTAATAATATTTCACAATATAACTGTATTTTTAAAATGCAGCCTTAGTGAGCATAAGAGACTTCAATTTCATTTTATGAAAATCAATTTAAATTAAATTAAATTAAATTAAATTAAATTAAAAAAATATATTTTTTTATTTTATTTCATTTAAATTAAATTAAATAATAAAAAATATACAAAAGTGAGAAATGCCACTGAAAACTGTGGAGACTCGCTCTCTTTGAAAACAGAAACTCTGTGTGAATGTTTGCTTCAGCTCGATGAAGTTGAAACCGAATATCAAGTGTGCCGTGAGCGATTAAGACAGAAATGGAATATCCACACAAGTAGCGTGAATCCATGCTAATAAATCTGTCTGTGAACTCATGTTAGACCTGAACTCCAGCACATTAACACTCAACGTTTAAACACATATAAAGATTTAAATCAAGACAACTGAGTCGCAAAATGTTACTGTATCCCACGATAGAAAGTAGAGTGTTTCATAGTAAATTCAAATTGTGGTCATTATTACAAAATTGCATTGATTCTTACAGTTGAATGTTTTTGCAAAAAGTTTATACATACTTTCCAGGTAGGAATGCTATGCTTGTTAAAACTTTGATTATACGTCTGAAAATGTGTGTGTGTTTGTACCTTTTATCCTTAAACAAAAATACATCTTATTTTAATAACAGGCCATTATGTGTACATGAATCCTCATTTGTGTTTATTTTGCACAAACTCACAAATTACAGATTGAAAAGATAATATAGGCAAGAATGTGAATAAAACTGTGTGAACTGTGCTGTTATCAGTTGAAAAAAACTGCTGTTTTTAAATCATATGGCTTTACTGATCACTTTTTTGATAATACTTCACTGGGAGCCATTATATAAAGTTCATAATGCCTTATAATTAAAAAAGCCATTCAGAATATTTTAAACACACTGTTTATCATACATAATTCAAAACATTACATCACATATATAATAAAAACCTTTACATGTATAACATACGCACATTTATTTATTTGTCAAAAATGTTGCATGAAATAATTACGATTTTTAAGAGTTTTTTTGTATTGTTATTTTATGCACCACTGCTGCATTTATTTTATTTTATTTATTTATTTTATTTTTTATTTATTCGTTTAAAATACAGTAAAACAGTAATATTGTGAAATATTATTATAATTTCAAATAACTTAAAGCTGTATGCATAATTATTTTAATTGAATTTGTAAAAATATTTTTCTAAAAGTATTTAATGTTCACCTCTCACTTATTTATGCATGGCTATACCTTAAACAAGCATAATCTATTAAAACGGATGAAACTGGGTGTTGATCATTTGCTAAAACAATGTAATCTTTAAATAGCTATCATGGGAAAGTACTGTAATGTCTTATAATAAGATGTATTATGGCATTATGCATTCTGCAATATACTACTACTACTACTACTAATGATGATGATGATTTGTAATGCATTACAAACGTAGGCTTCAGTAATATTATAATTTAGATTTCTTGTAGCATGCAGTGAGAAAACACAATGAAGCATGTGCTGAAAAATAACAATAGCAATGTAAAAACAAATGTGACAAAATGCTAATTGACGAGCAAAACTCACACTTTCTTCATGCACTTGATAAGTGACTTTCTTTTAGCTATTTCAGAAGCGGTGTTGGGTGTGAGAGGGCACAACACACGTGTGAAGTTTATAGCGACACGACACGTTCACATCCACTGCGGCCTCCAGGCTCAAACACAGATAACTGACTGAAAACATTCACCCATCTACATATTTCAAGGACTACAACTGAAAATGTGTGAGGATAAATGAGTTGCAAAATGTCCCCAGATCAAAATGAACAATTTCATATAGATTTTTTTTTTACAGAATGCAAACAAACAAACAAGCAAACATATAAATAAAAAAATAAAAAAATATAAAAATAAATAAATTAATTAATTAATAAATACATTAAAAAAAAAAAAATAAATTAATAAATTAATTAATTAATAATAAATAAATAAATAAAATGTTTTATAGTCATTTTCCCTCATTATATTCAATACTTTCCCCATTTCTTTACATTGCACTCTATATACATGCAAAATATATTTCTGTGTTTCTGTATGTTGTTGTGGAGCACTGAAATCATGTTTTAAAGTCATACTCAGAAACACCGGCGCCACCGTTTACCTGCAAACGCTCCTGATGATGCTATGCAAATATCCGGCTCTCGTTGAAATCTAATGAAACGTTGCAAGGAACAATACGGTGCACTGAACACAAGCTCCTTCATTCACAAACACACACACGTTCAAGTACAAGTGAACTCCTCTGTCTAAACAGACTGACTCCAGGTATCACTCAAGCTTGAGAAACGACCAGAAACAGAGGAGGAGTGCAGCTGTTGGACAATGAAAAGCATTAAGCCTGTTTGCAAAAGAAACACGACCTATTTATTTATTATTAAAATAGCACTACTATTATTATGGGATTTGAACGATCCATTAACCCTAAGTATTCAACTTTGGCGTGTTGCTCGTCCGTGTGCTACAAACATGACTGACGCAAACATTGCGAGAGAGCAATGCAACGCAACCGAACTAGATTTCTCCCATTCTAATCAACACAAGCATGCAGATATGACATGATACGCTGAAGGTTTTTCCTCTTATCTCACTCTCCCTTCTAAGTTTCAGGCCCATTTTCTCTCTCTTTCTCCGCTCTCCCAAAAGTTTGAAGGGTCAAATACCAGAGGGACGGCTCTGGAGTCTGCTTTGGGGTTAAGGAGCCCCTCAGTGCCACTTTAAGAGTCCAATTACTCCCATCAGGTGTGAGGAACTGCCTTCGCAGACGGGTTGATACAAACACACACACACACACACTCACTCACTCACTCACACACACACTCACTCACTCACTCACACACACACTCACTCACTCACTCACACACACACACACAC